AGTTATTCCGGGAAACGGGCAGCAGGAGGCCTGGTGTTAGTGAAACTATACGTGACGAGATTGGACAGCCTATTCACAACTTATCAAAACGCTTAGAGCCTTGAGCTGAGCACTTTAAAAGACAATTTAATCGTTCGGAATTGTTAGATTTCTCGCCGGCCACTAATCGCCCCGCTCCTTGGGCTTTCCCTTTGGACCCGCCCTCTCGCTCAGAAGTCGAACGTGAGATCGAACTGTTGAAGTTAAATAAAGCTGTGGGACCTGATGATCTACCTTTAGCCCTCTTCAAATTCCGGGGATCTGCTCTTGTGGATGATTTACACGAGTTACTAGTCAAACTGTGGGAGCATGAAACTGTCCCAACTGATTGGAGCCGATCCGTCATAGTCCCAATTTTCAAGGTAGGCTCATGATCGGAATGCGGCAGCCATAGAGGAATCAGTCTGATCTCCATCGCCTCCAAATTGCTTGCTTCTGTCATCCTTCACAGACTGACTGGCACTCGTGAAAGCCAGCTTCGTAAAGAGCAAGCTGGATTTCGTCGAGGTCGTGGCTGCATTAACCACATCTTCACCTTGCGTCAGTTGTTGGAGCACTGTCACATATGTTGGCGGCCCAGCATTGTTGTGTTCCTCGATATCAAACGTGCATTCGATTCGGTGGATAAACATGCGCTTTAGGACTGTCTACTCAGAAAAGATGTTTTTGAGTAATATGTGAATATTATCCGAGCGTTATACGCGCGTAGCTCTGACAGAGTGAGGGCTTACGGCAAGTTGTCGTCGCCCTTTAATATCTCCAGCGGCGTGAGACAAGGATGCCCGCTCTCACCTTTCCTCTTCAACTTCGCTGTTGACGAAGTCATGAAAATCGCGTTCACAGGACACGACTTATAAGGTGTGGGTCTGCTCCCAGGAGAACGACTTCTTGACTTGGAGTATGCTGATGATGTTACCCTAATCTGTGACAGCTCACAAACATGTCAAGCGGCACTTGACAGATTAGCACTAGCTGTCCGTCACTTCGGGCTTTGCTTCGCACCCTCGAAGTGCAAAGCGTTCCTCCAGGATTGGCCTGGACCGCCTCCTACGCTGACCATTGGTGGGGATCAGCTAGAAGTCGTTCAAAAATTCAACTACCTGGGAAGTTGTATCAGCGCCCGTGGGATTGAGGATGAGATCGCGAACCGTATAGCAAAAGCTCGGGACGCTTTTGCTAACCTTGGCCAGTTATGGCGCCGGCGCGACATCACTCTTGCCCTGAAGGGTAGAGTGTACAATGCAGCGGTACGTTGGACCCTACTGTACGGTTGTGAAACCTGACCCCTAAGATCGGCGGACATGAACAGGCTAGTTACGTTCGACCACCGGTGCCTTCGTAATTTAGCTCACATCTGGTGGGAACACCGCGTGAGCAACGAGCGTGTTCGACGCCTTGTTTACGGCCTAGGAAAAGGGAATGAACCGCTCAGCACCGTTATTTCACGCACCAGGCTCCGATGGCTCGGTCACGTGTTACGCAGGCCAGCCCACCGACTCCCGCGACGTGTGTTGTTTGCGCGCCGGGATGTGGATGGAAGAAGGGGAGAGGTGTCCAAGCGATGACTTGGTCGAGAGGAATGAAGACCCTCACTTCTGAGCTGGCCTCGGTTGGAGTGTCTCGGCTCTCTGGTTGGGGTCCAAAAGTCGATGAACACCTTTGGTTGGACACACTTGCTGATATGGCTAGGAGCCGACCTCAGTGGCATTCGTGCTGTGAGTTTCTTTGTACCACCACTTCCAACCATTATCTCATTATTTAGCCTTATATAATTTTGCATAGTAATTTTTTAATGCGCAGTTGCCGGCTGGTAGCTTACCGGAACGATGCCCATCCTTTACCGGTAGCTCAGCTGGCTTGCACCAGTTGCATTTTCTTTTTCCTCTTTTTTCTGTGTATTGCGGCACAGTAACTGAGGTGTTCCCCACCTAGCTAACGTGTTTGATGATGATGATGGTCATACATCAGCGGGACACTAGTAGTGTATTCATGTTTTTCGACGCGATGCTCGTTCGGCTGTCGATAATAGGGTCACTGGAGGTCACATCATTTAAGGGCCATACCTTTTTGCTTGTGTGGGGCGCATTTTCGTGCATGCACTCCCTGTTCATCACGTATTCTGCGTAGCTTACATCCGGGCTATTGGCGACCACTTTCTGGTTGTGCTTTCCTACGCGTATTCCATGCCTCTGCTATTCTCGTCTACCCGCTGTGCCTAACCCACATAGCCGAAGGAGGTGGGACTAATTGCAGGTATGCCCAACGCTCGTACTGTGACACAAAAATTTTCACCGCCTTTCTTATTTTTGTTGGTTAGCATCATTTGGTAGGAGACATTTCATAGCCTCAACATCTGTCAGCAGTGTGTTTCGCCTTTCTATCCACTGTTACTCAGGGAAGCAACTGATAGTCGTGTTAAAGTGGACCACAAATTATTCTTTGTCCAGCGGCACCTGTTCCGATACGACTGTGCATCATCCTTCCGTTTAATGATGAGTTACCCGCTCACTGTAGAGCATTTGCCATATGGCAAGCTGCAGTGATGCAACCGTTTCTATTTATCTGTTTCTTCTACCCCCTAGCGATCAATATGTTAATATCCTCTACTCTGTACACGTGTCGTCACGCAAAGCTCACGTCCCATTATCCTCGTTCCCCTCCCACTCTCAATGTCACCGGCTTGTGAATAGTCACTGAGTAGAACGCAATCTGGAAAAAAGAAACATTCGGCCGAGTGAAAGCACTTGCATTTCACTCACCGCGGTGATTGTCCACACGTTGCCATTCGGTGCATCTTACGGGCGTTGACTACGTTAACGCCCGCTGTACTGGCGTGCCAACGGTTTTCTGAAGTTTCCCATTTATCTCACCCTAGCCGGACACCTTTGCGTGTACACTTGCGAAGCTTGCTTGGTTCGTCCTCATCGATTTCGTTGTGACAACATTCTCGCAGTACTTGGAAGCCTGTTCTTAATAAATTCACCGTTTCAAACCCATGGCGCCGTATTCAACTGGTTCAGTACAGAATTAAGACTTAACTCGATGTCTTTAGGTTAGAAGTTTCGTCTCACGTTTCAATAATCCCGATTTCGTGAGCTGCTATCCCTACCTGATGCGATCAAACATGATTAAAACGCTCAGTGGAATGCAGTGTTTTCGAGCGGGCGGAATTAGATTTTCATCCGCTTCAGCAGTTACAGTCCCATCGAATGAATTAGCCAAGATTCATCTCAATTCGAATCACGCTCCACATTGCGATTTCACGTCGCAATCCACTCACACAACAAATGTTCCGAAATAACCCTCCCAATAAGACGTATCGCATTCTTGACTCCACACACCACGCAACTAGTTGATTAGAATCACGCTATGACGGATTTTCATTGCCGATCTGAGTGCACTATGCGAATGCCAATCACTCGTTTTTTAAGACAACTCTGGAGGATTGTGCCTTTGCCCGCTACTTCAATCGGTTTGTCAATGGTTCACTTCAATGTATCGAGAAAGTTAAACTGCCCGCGTCCGCAGAACACTACTGCGTGCTGCTTCCATACTGATGAGCTACAATAGTTTCCTTTACTTTTAACGCCACGGAATCACTGTGGTATGCTCATCTACCGATGTACTTCTCTAAGTGTGATGCATGTGCATGTTTTCTAAGGGTTCGTTCTCTCTGACCACCCACTACGGTACCGTCCTTTCGTTCACTTTTAGGCTTTCTTTCTTCCCCGTGGAACTGGAACCGTTTTGTGTATTTTTCCTCATATACTTCGTCAGATTTTTCTCACTGGGAAAAATACTTTGACTCCGAGCTCGTCTTCGGTTGCTCAATGCACCTACCCTATGTACCGTTGATTTTGCTGCCCACCTGTCACTTCAACGGAGAGACCCGGGTCTCGTTTGTAAGCTTTTTGAAGTTTTGCTTGTGTTGAATTCGATAGTGGTTTTCGATCCAGAAATACGCGAGTTACCTGCCATCGTTCTCGCTTTGTTGATCGCTCCTCTTTCTTCAACCAATGAACAATGATTTATCACAGGTACAAAAAAGCAGGTGCTTGACAAGTCTCGTAGGATGGTCGGAGTGAAAAGTATACAAAAGGTACGTATATCGTTAAGTTAATCGTCCACCGATCTAAATGCACTGTGGCACAACTACAGTGTGAGAGGGGAATCTGATTGTGTAAGCACACAAAACGATTCGGGGAGCAGTTGTACTGTACCTATTCTGTGAGGAAAATGTAAACGCTCCTTCATGTCATATGGCGCCTTTGTATGTCCATGTGATATGTAAACCCAGTCTAAATGTATCATAAACATATTTTACAGTAACACCGTTTAGGTAACCAAGCGCAAGAAATGGTACGGAGCACATTGCTTGATGATAATATGATGACGCCGTTATAAAAAGCCATACGGGGTAGGTGCGTTTGATCTCGCGATATTCCCAGCTCTCGCGCGATTGGTGGTGGCCGCGTGGCATCGAAGCATCCATACGATGTGCTAGCCTATTGTACGTTGACTGCTGGTAATGATTTCCGAAGTTTCCTCAGTTTTTTTCTCCTGGTTCACGCAACCCCCTTAGTGGTTGCTGCACTGGACTCATCCACACATTGTACCAACTTTTGCGTGCCGTAGGCTGTCCTCCCTTCAACGTTTACGTAAAACTAATAAATCTTGCTTCTATGAAGCGGAGACAAGCTGTGATTGCGCGCGTCATGGATTCTCAATCTTAGGTAGATGTTCATTCTGCATCAAAGCTAGACGGTACTGTGGTCTTTAACATTTGATCAGTCTACCAGTCTCTTTCTACTGAGGGATGTTGTGCAATACCGTACAATCACCTGATCCAGGTACTACTTCCCATTACTTTTCGCGCTATCTCATGCTTTACATCTTTCTCAGTCTCTCTTACCTCTTCCTTTGTTCCCCATCTCACTACTTGCCCTGTTCACTCCATTTAGATTCGCGTACCAACTCATCCAGACGGCAGCTCTGTTTTCTGGGAGTTTGCCACGGATCATTATGACTTAGGATTCGGTTTGTATTTTGAATGGAATACAGAACCACAAAGCAACGTTTCAATAAGCATAGCAGAGTCCAGTGACGAAGAGGATGGATACGAGGACGACGATTCAACTGGGCGTACCGACGCGCTCCGCGGCCACGGAGATGCTGGCAAGTCACTAATTGTTTGTCAGTCGGTTATTCTATTCTCTTCTTTCGTATGCACCTTTCCACTTTTATCGTTTAGTTGTGCCCTCTGAACTTAACCCAGGCTTCTACCAATTTAGCCGTTTTGCACAGGCTGTTTGCATCCACGATCTAACCAAGCCGAAAAAGTGGCTTTTGTTTCCCACAGTGTGTGGGCACCTTTACTGCACTCATTCCCGATCGCACGCTTATGTACTATTGTATACACTGAGTGTTTTCATACGCATCCTGTCCAAATAGCATTTAGGAATCCCCTCCCCTCACACAGAGACCAACAAAGTACTCGTAGTCTTGTCCGCACATTTTTGAGTTCGCCGGTATCGTTCATGGATGCCACTTTCGGTTAATGTTAATTGTTACTCGATCAGAAACATTGACAGCTTGATGCGAGGTCGAATGTACACCATGGAGAAGTATTCACTGAAGATCTTAAATTATTTGGGTGAAAAATACTTGAGAAGAGAATGGGAAACATTGAATGTGAACCGAGCTTGCTCCTTTTAGTGTTGGATCGGGTACTGCATTTTGTTATACTACACGAAGGATTATGTTGTAGGTTCCATGATGGCATCGTTGATTTTTGATAAATCCTATCCATTTCAGAGTTACATCAGTTTCGTCGCTTTTTTTCAGGAAATCAGAGTGATGTCGAAAGTGGTCAAAAAAGTTCCGATCCTCAGCTGCCTACGGATGAATTGATTCCCATTTACAGACGAGATTGTCACACGGAAGTATACTGTGGTAGTCATCATTATCCTGGTATCGGTGTTTACATCTTCAAGTTTGATAATTCTTTCTCATTGTGGCGTTCGAAGTGGCTTTATCACTCAATTTACTACTCTTCATAGCACCATTCCGTCTGGTGGTCCAGCTCCTCCTCCTCCTGTCCCTAGTCATTGTCGTCGCCAAAGCTAACTTTTATTCTGAGCTCCCCATTTTGAACCGGCTCTCCTCGCCGTTGTCTGTTTTGTCATTCTACTTCTCATTTGATACTCTTGACTTCATGTGTTTCATTTCAACGTTTTATCTCCCTGCACCATCGGGCCAGCATCACTCGCTCGCTGCATTTGTTTTTTCTCCAACTGTAATTCAACTGTTCAGGCAATTTGCTTATCCTGATAGACACTATCGTTTAATGTGATAGTTGCTTTTATACATCCAATCTCCACACTTTGACGTTGCACTTCCAATCGATCACATTTTCTTGAACCCCACATCCAACTGAGACATTCTGAATAAATATATCTGATATTACCTTTAGCCACGCGTTCTGTCCCGGTGAAAGTAGCTCATTTTGGTACTACTAAAAGTAGTATGCTTTGTTACGGTCGTTTCTGTGTGGTGCAAATTCGTTTTACCTCATTTACCTAACATGGTCTTCGATGCGGGTTTGCGTTTCCCTTGACAGTGGTTATACTTATTTAAGGAAAATCCTACTGCTGTATTTGTAAGCTAGTAAGGGACTTATCAATTCATTCCTGTTTTGCTCCATCGCCCAGCCACTCTACCACCGTGGGATTGTCTAGGGCGAATACTTGGGATGGCTAACAAACAGTGGAAACGGACTTTGCGTTCCAGTTGGGTCACTCGGCGCGTTTTGGCAGTAGATCAGCATCTTGTTTGACCTCCAAAGTGCCATACTTACTTGTGCGCATCTTCCCGTCTTCATCAAAACTAACTGGAGATACCCACCATGTTATGTTACTCACATGGGAACAGGGCGCCGAAAGACGATGGATCTAGTTACTTGAAAGTAGAATTAAAGAATTACTAACATTTGCGAAAAATGAAAAGCAAGGGTGGAACCTTAAAGGAAACTAAACAAAAATATGTAATCCCTCGACGGAAACGTTAACAGACACTTCACCTATTTCAACTGCGCCATCAGCTTTGCGGTTGCTATAATTCAAAAGCGCTTTTAACGACTTTCGCCCGAGATTATCCATGTATTCTAAGAAGACAACACCGGCCAGCGTGGCACAGGCTTTCACACTGTCTTGTTGTATATTTTTCCCTTGACATTCGCCACCCACGTCGAAGTTTTACCCAACCGCGTGCTGTACTGGCCAACAGTACATAACGAAGTAGGGTGTTGATCGGCATCCGCAGTGCCTGGCTAAGACAATGTGTGTAGTCCAGTGCCGAGTAGAAGTCCAATGTAACATTAGCCAGTTCGCCGACCATCGACTGGTGCACCTCCACATTGCCCAATCAGTGGTCTCATCTGAAAAAAAATCTGCTGTGCGGATACCGACACTCAAAAATAATCGCCATGTTGTGACCTCATGGCGCAGTAGCCATGTCTCTGATTCATGCAGCTAATGTAGTCGCACTACGGCTGTGCGCTTTGCGAATGCGCTAGCTTCAAGTTGCCTGCACTTGAGGCTTTACAGGTCACAATGTATTCTTGGTATTACGAAGATGTCAGTTCTAGCAGCTGCGGAAACCAATGTTGTCGCTCTTCCCACTATATATGAAGTAGTAATGGAGTTACAGTCATAATTGATCTATAAGGGGCACTCACGTGTGAAGACAGTGGATAGCATCATCTTATAATAGCGGACTAGGAATTGTCATGGCTATTGTCCTCAAAAAGCAGAAGCCAATGACACCAGAAGCAGTATGAGGCTAGACATGTGAGTAGTTAATGCTGCCCCTCGCAATGTGATGAGAAATGTGTTGTCAGTGTTGAGTAATGAAGCGATGATTCATGTGTCCATGCAATCATCTTCTTACAAAACTTTTCTGGGTCACAGAAAGTATGATCATTTAGATATTCCAACAGTGGCACATTTTGATATCCCCTGAGGATTACAACGGACTAATATTTCATGATTCCGGTGTCGCTAACCTAGACAAGATTGCAAACGGGAGTTGCATTAAACAAAGACAATTTGCAAAAACGGCGTTTTGGAAATGCTCCCATCAGGTCTTATCAACTACACACTTGGTACGCCATGGCGGACAACTTTTATCCGCCTTGTACATTCAAACCTGTTTAAGTGGACCACTCAAGGAACCGACAAAATGTGGTCGCCTCGGACAGGTGGTCCCCATTTACAAGTTCATGCATGGGGAACACTACTCACCATCGATTGCATATGTGTATTGCGCTTTCAAATACTATCTACGTCCGTACACAAACAACATCTATAATTAATTTTTGTCTTCAACTTAAAACAAAAACAGTACTGTTGTACACTGGGATATATGAACAATAAAAATGTAGAAGGTTACACTTTGTGAGTAATCATTGTAAAAACCGACCTGCAAATCCGCGTAATCCACATGTATCATCAAAATCATACACACACTTCTATTGCCCGTGTCATTTTCCACCAGATGAAAAAATTATGTATAGAAGTCTGTCGCTTTGCAATTGAAATGAAAGTTAGTTTTTCCCTCAAGTTCATGATGATTTCAAGCATGTCAGTGAGTCCTCTACTTACTGCGTAGGAGCGCAAAATATCAACAGCACCATGTGCGTCTGCGAATGTATACGCTGTCAGAACGTCTATAGGATCTCATTCCTGCTCGTCGTCTGATTCACTCTTCTTATCCTCAGTTGCCAGAATTGAAATACCAGGAGGGTCCCAGTTTATTTCCGTTGTGCTACCATGGGGCTGTCAGTAAGTTGACATTCAGACAATTCCTTTAAAGGTTTGTCCAATGCAGTAGAGGTTACAGGAGGTACAATTTGCTCGTTTGCATTACCTCCAGTTTTCATTGTCTCAGAATCGATGTCTGCAGGACAAGGAAATCCTGCTTAACAAAAGCACGGCGATTGTTGAGTTCTCCATCTCTTCCACTCGGCAGCGATCCAGAATACGACCTCCACTAAATTTACTGTTTTCATGGGTTCAGTTCCTGACAAATCTTCGTGTAACTCCATGCTGGTAATAATATGTAGAAGCTGTCTTTTCCTAAACTTTGATTTAAATGTTTCAATGACACTTTGATCAATTGGCTGAACTAGCGCAGTGGTGTTATGCGATAGGAACTATAGTCTGATATTCCTTAGCTGAGTTTTGGGCTGGCAAGTGGCATTGTCAAGGAACAAAATTATGTTACACTTTTTCTGCTGCATCATTTAGTCAAAGATTTTAAGCCAGTTTCCACAAATAACCACAGTCATCTACGTCTTTTTATTATCCTTGTAGATTACCGGTATTTCTTCGCGTTGACGTTCCTAAATATTCGCGGGTTGTCTGCTTTCCCAGTCACTAAAGCCGGTTTCCGCTACCCCAGCATGTTAGTACACAGCATAACTGTGATTCTCTCCTTGCTTCTTTTCCCCACCTGTACTCTTTTCTCGTCCGACAAAAACTGTTTTTCACATGTAGCTTTAACAACCCAGTTTCATACGAATTATAAATGTCTTGAGCTGCGTAACCAGAACATATTTCGGATAATTTTGCTATCCAGTCTGATGCCGCACACATCTGTCACCGCTTACCAAACACAAGGTTGTGCTTATTGATAAAAACCTGCAACCAACCGTTTGATGCCTTTATTAAATTCTTTCGCAAAGTGCAAAGCTCGTTCTTGAATAGTCCTTTCAGATAGTGGGATTTTTATCGCAATTGCATTCTGGCTCCATATCCAAGAAAGCTGTTTATATCTTCATTTCCGGTTTATCTGCCTTTCCTGTTTTAAATCTTGATGTGTTGTTTCCATATTCATCAAAAACTCAATTTTCCTTTTTAAAATTTTTAGGATCTATGTCCTTCCTGCTCCACAATTTCTGCCAATGTTCGCGAACTTTTTGCTCCTTGATTTTGTCGAATCACTGGTATTCTTTCTTCAAGTGTTAATGCCTTCAGCTCTATGAATTTGGAACTAGCCATTTTGTCATTTCAATCTTCAGTCAGAAGATGTTCCGCTGGAAATGGACACAGAGTGCTGTGTTCTATTTATCTTCTGAAATTTATACGGGACGAATGCTCGCTTGGCTAGGCAACGGCGCACAGTTTCCCTGTAGGATTCGGGATTTGCCAACAACGTGTGCTTTTGTGGACAAATCAGACCCATAGGACACCCACTGCCGGGAATAAAACATTTCTTTATCTACACGCACTGACAGGTACATTCCAACCTGCTACGTTGACCACCTGTCCGAGGAGACCACATTTTGTCAGTCTCTTGAGTGGTCGCCGAAATTGTTACTGTGCTCATTTCTCCGCAGTCTATTCAATTCACCCAGTCATTCAATCACGGTTACACATCCAGTCGCATAATCGGTGACCACATCTGTTCAAATATTCTACCCGACAACCATGTTTGTTACTTTGGTACGTTGTTACACTGGCATCGCCGATTGTCTCGATGACCTCAGTTTTTGAATACTTGTGTGCGCGCAGATGGTGCGTTCAACACACTGCCGCATGTAGCTGAAACTGTGGCGTGGTGGTCGCCTTTCAGAGGTTCGATAGAACGTGGTAATTACGAAAACCTGGCCGCAGTTTGCATTAGACAGGTGGACGTGATACACAGGTTGAGTCCGATGAGAAAAGATAGGAAAATCGTTGGGAATGTTTTTGGCTGGTCGCCATAGACAGTTGATCACCTTAAACACGTGGCCACCATAGCAGGTTGGGCTGTATTTACATTTTGTTGCGTAAATTACTGAGACCCTTGGCGGATCTGTACGCCTTCTGAGGAGTCGCCATACTGTGGCTTGGGGAATGCTTCCCTTAAGGATTTAACTGCGAAAAGTCTCGTTTGTTTTGCAGCCGAGATTAATAAGCATTCGCGGACAATAGGCCGCAGCGTCTCAGAGTGTGGGGAGTTCTGGGCTAATCACCTGGTTCTCCATCAAATAGACACGAGCTGGTACGCCGCTGTGTCATCGCTATGGGGTCACTGACTACTCACTTCTGTTATCAGAGGTGTGTACCTAACGGAGGGCGCATGAACAAACTTCCTGGCCACCGGCTTCTCTGTGGACTGCAACGGAATATATATATATATATATATATATATATATATATATATATATATATATATATATATATATATATATATATATATATATATATATATATATATATATATATATATATATATATATATATATATATATATATATATATATATATATATATATATATATATATATATATATATATATATATATATATATATATATAGCGTTGGAGGCATCCCGTTTCGGATTTGCCTGTCACTGTGGCAAGCCACAGGACGCCTGCGCCTACAGAAGGACAATGGATGGCTTGCGCTGCACCACCCACAGCTCCA